GTCGTATGAGCCCCTATTAAAACGATTAAAAAAAAAAGAGTGCTGCGTTTGCATAGTGTTGAAGGGGATGAGGAAATTGTTGGCATATTGTAGTATTTGCTGACTTTGTCAGCAACTATGACGCTGTCACTGACTTTAAAACCTCCTCAGAAAAAAGCGTCACCTCATAAAGGTCAACAAACAAACCTGGAACTATTTATAGGCTTTTCTTATTTTGCTGTTGGTTTTGTTGTTGTTGTTGCTTTGTTTTCTTTTGTTGTTGTGTTTTGCATTGTCTTCTTTTTGTGCTTATTATTGTCTCTGCATGTCTATCTAGGCAAGATAGATGGGAGGATGAACAATCCAGAGGAGAAAGCAATGGGACTGATGGTTCTTGGGGAACACAGGAGAGGGGGAAGCAGGGGAAAGGAAGGGGGGTGCCAACAAACCCAGGGACAAGGGAACAATTAGTGATCTAAATTCAATGGAGAGGAGAATGCAGGATGCCTGGTGGGGCTTGATCAAGGGCAATGTAGCCGAGAGGAATTACTGAAACCCAAATGAAGGTCGAACGTGATAGTGGGACAAGAAGAAAATAAAAGGAAATAGAGGAAAGAACTAGGAGGCAAAGAAAATTTATAGAGGTTTAAATACAGGCATGTACATATGCATCTAAATACAGGCATGTACAGGCAAAGAACATTTATAGAGGTCTTAATACAGGCATGTACATATGTACAAAGAACATTTATAGAGGTCTAAATACAGCATGTACATATAGAGGTCTAAATACATGCATGTACAGGCATGTACATATGTAAATACAGGCATGTACATATGTAAAAATAGGGAAATAGATCTCTGTACATATATCTATTTGTTAAGTATTAAGGCAGCATATGGACATTGGGCCTCCACTCCCTCAACCCAAGAACACTTTGTTCTAATAACCTGGCATTCTGTGATGCTCACCTTCCCTGACATGATCGCTGCAGACAAAATGGGTGCATAAGCAAATGTGGTGAAGAAAACTGATGGTGCCCAGCTATCAAAAGATATAGCAGCTGGGGTCTTAAAGGCTTGAAGATAAACAGCCATCTAGCTGAGAAGCAATAAAGCTCACATGGAAGAATCACACCAGCCTGTGTGATCATGAATTGTTGATGGGCTCAGGTATTAGGCATCAAAGACCCAGAACAAAAAATCATTTCTATGTGAATGAGGGGTAGGGTGGAGTGGAGACCCAAAGCCCATCTGTAGACAATTGGACATCCCCTTACAGAAGGGTCACAAGGAAGAGACAAGCCAGTCAGGGTGCAGTATAGTTCTGACTAAACACACAACTTTCCACTAGTTTATTAATGCTTCCTCCCCCCCACCCCCACTATCATGACTCAATTCTATCTTACAAATCTGACTAGATCAGAACATGTACACAAGAATAACACAGATGAAACACACAACTTTCCTCTAGTACTTAATGCTTCCTTCCTCCCACTATCATGACCTTGATTCTACCTTACAAATCGGATTAGACCAGAGCATGCACACTGCTACAGATAAGAGCTCACAAAACAGGGAATCCAGGACAGATAAACCCCTCAAAACCAATAATGAGAGTAGCAATACCAGGAGGATAAGGGGAAGGGGTGGGGGGAGGAGAGGGAGAAAAGAGGAACTGATCAAAATGATTGACATATAACCCCCTCCCAGGGGCATGGACGACAGAAAAGTGGGTGAAGGTAGACCAATCAGTGTAAGACATGAAAAAAATAATAATTTATAAATTATCAAGGATTAATGAGGGCGGTGGGGAGAGGAGGGAAATGAGCTGATACCAAGGGCTCAAGTAGAAAGAAAATGTTTCGAACATGATGATGGCAACACATGTTCAAATGTGCTTGACACTAAGATTGTATGTATGGATTGTGATAAGAGCTATTCGAGCCCACAATAAAATGATTTTTTAAAAGAAAAGAAAAAAGTGTCATTACTAGTTAAAGTATATTGACTAACTGGAAATAACACAATGCTACTGTGTTACAGGAGATAAGAATCTGAGACAGAGATGAATTTCCTTGTTTTTGAGCTAAAATTTTGGTTGTTTGATAATAATATAAAAATATTTTTAAATTCTCAATATTATTATTGAACAAAGTCAAGTCATGAATTGAAGAAACATATTAGAAGATACATTGCAAGTGTCAACTTTAAAAAATTCCCAATACATGCTTTTAAAAATCAAGATATTGCACTACATTTTTAAATTCTGAAATAAAGATTTTTTTCTACTTAAAAGGTACTGACACTATGCAGTCATAAAAGTCATTGATGAGTCTGTGAAGCATGTTCCAACATGGACTGACCTGCAGGACACAAGGTTCCATAGAAGCAGTCAATCACCTGAAGACAAATATTGTGTGATGCCACTTTTATATGAAGACAAGAATAGATATGTATATAGGGACCAATGTTTATTGGTGACAAAGATAAGGAGGAAGGATAATTACTCTCAAGATTGTAGATATTCATACTCACTAGGTACTGGGAGTAGCAACATATGTAGGTGACATGTGCATGACTTGACCAAAATAGATGTTCCCACTAAGAAGCACATGAGAGGAAAAGTTGTGCTAAAGAATATGACATCCACGAGGGCTTCAAAAATTTCATGGAAAAAATTCCAGTATCTCATCTTTCAACAAAAATTTTAAATCTTCTCTGAGAAGAATTTAAAATGGCAACAATATGAATAGCCAAAAAAAGAATTTATTGTCATGTAGGTATATAAAGTATACATGTATACAGGTATGTACATACAGATAGACACACAAATAGAAGTATCTTCATGTTCATGTCTCTGTACATATAAGGGGGTACTCCTCCCCCCTCAAAAAAAAAAACAAACGGGAAAAAACTACTTCGTGTAGAGGAGCTTTCATAGTACATATCCCCCACCCCACACTAGGTGAGCATCCAGAAACTCACTCTGAATAAGTGCACCCAGTGGCATCACCTGGGACGGTTCTCTGGTCACAATGAATTTTTTCGTAAAAACAGTTTCACTGGAACCTCATTGTGATGGTTGATTTAAGAGCACAGTGTGTAGCTATGAAATTTTGTTTCCTGCTCCGAAAAATGTCACAGAAACTGTTGTGATGTTGAACACAGCTTACAAGGACAGCACATGCGAAACATGCAAGTGTACAAGTGGCTTTCTCATTTCAAAAATGGTGAAATGTCCATTGTTGACAAACTTCCTGAATGGAGGAAAATGTGGACTTGTAGTATATTTGGAGTTTGTTCCACCAGGTCAGACTGTTAATCAAGCTTTCTATTTAGAGGTTCTGAAAAGATTGTGTAACAGTGTGCGACAGAAAAGACCTGATTTGTGGCAGACAGAGGACTTGTTTTGCCACCACAACAATGCACCTACTCATTCAGCCATTTCAGTGCGCCTGATTTGGGCAAAAATAGCATGCCTCTCTTGCTCCACACACCTGACTCACTTGACCTCGCTCCATGCGACTTCTTTTTGTAGCCAGGAATGAGGAGGGACATGAAAGGACAACGATTTGATGAAGTAGAAGAGGTGAAGGGAAAAACGAGGAAGGTGCTGTCAGCCATACAAACAGATAGGTTTGAAAAATGTTTCCAAGAATGGAATTGCAGATTTGATAAATGTATGAAGTGTAATGGAGAGTACTTTGAAGGTGATAAGGTTGTTTTGTAAGAATATTTAAATACATAGCTTCAGGGGAGAAAATTCCGGTGGGTTTTGTTTTGTTTTTTTGGTACCCTCTCATGTAGATATATCTGTGCGTGGCTATATATTCATAGTGGACACGGTTACAAATACTTCTCAGACATAATCAAACACTTTGTGGAATTGGTTTTCTGAGTTTGAAGGCTTAGAACTTTAGTCTCACGAGATAATGCACTCAGATGTCATCATATAGTTCACAAAGCTCATGTTTTGCATACCTATGAGGTAAGTAGAAAACGTAGGAAGCCCCGAGTGTGTGTCAATGGAAGAGGAACAACTCAGAAAGGAGAAGAGCTGCACATCTCAGAGAATGCACTCATGT